GCAGAAATCAACACACAGCACTACGCAGCAAAGAAGGAACCTGGAAAAGGCGAGCAGAACGCGTTTGTCCCAGAGCCAACTCCCCAGCTCTGGCAAACTGTGATGTAATATCTTGGTTTTATGTCCCTTAGGACACAGCTCCAAGCTCAAGGAAAAAAGCTACCCTCCGTGACTCACAAATGACGCTGCTCTTCCTCCAGGCTTCATCTGGCCAGGGAGCACAGAGGGAAGCTGGAGAGCTGAAATTTGGACTCTGAGTCCCAGGCCCATCCCTCAGGGAGCGACTTATTGTGCAGCCTGATGCTGGCTGAAGTCATCCAAGAGCTGCTCCAGGGCACCGCGTGTGGCTGGCAGCTCTTGGCCAATCTCAAGCCCAGCTCTTGCTCCCAAGTCCACCTGGGCACTGAGGACACCAACCTGCCAAGCAGTCGCAGCTTGCGAGGGCCGTATTTGTCCATGACAATCCCCAGTGGCAGGGTGATAGCACTGAGCAAGAAGGACCCAATGGTGAAGGCTAAGTTCAGCATTTCGTCTTGAGCGTTGCAGGAAGGCCATTTGTTCTCTGAAGCCGTGCCGTTTTCTTGTTCGTGGCGGCCGGTGGAGTTTCCTACAGGGGGTAACAGAGGATCGTCATTGCCACATGTGGGGGTGGAGGTTGCGGCTACGTGGCAGGGAGAGAAGAAAAGCCCCGCACATAGGCTGCCACAACCTGCCAAGCACGCACCCATCACACCCCACTTTTGATTACAGCCAGCGAGAACTGGAGGAACCAGAGAACAAGAACAGCAGAAGAACAAGGAAAACATGGTCACTTCAGCTGGAACAGGAATAGGATTCCCAGACACCAAGGAACAAATCTCCCATGAAGCAGCAGCTGGGCAACAATCTCCCATTAAGGACAGAGATTCATTAATTTATAAAGTCAACTCTACAACAAGGCCCCTACAGTTATAGGGGCCTAAACCCAGTAGGACTGGAAGGGACTAATACAAAAACAAGGTATCCTCATCCAAGACCAGCATTTTCTCGTAGATCCATCCCCAAAGTAAACTAGAAGTGTTAACTACAGCCAAAGCATTTGTTTCGGGTCCAGACACGAGGCTGGCAGGGCCTGGCGTACAGCGACAGCTTTCTCAAACGACAAGCCTCCTACCCTCACTCTGGGCACCGCAAGGAGGGACAGGTTCACAGCAGCCACCCTGCTCTGACTGCACCAGTGCAGAAGATCCCTCCTAAATTTAACTACCCTGCTCCCAGGAGGGCAGTTACCTGCCTTCTCTGCTTATTTATGGATGCATGCATCTTTTTAACTTCTGCCCCATAACTAACATTTTCTATTCTTTCCAGGTTGGTTTAGGCCATACAGATCAATGATACCTCCAACTTTCTGTTCTTGCCTTTACACGAGGAACTCTACATGCAAACTCCCACGCAGAACAGAGCTCGGGTTGTGTAACAGACAAACAGGACAGTTCAAAAAAACCAGAAGGAAGTTCCCTTTTCTTTGCAGCAGCAGTTTCACTGCCTGATGTCAGTTCTCTATTACAAACTTATCCCAAGTAGGCCTATAAATCCTGAAGAGCGTGCCATGAGACTTTCACTAACCTGGAGTACTACCACGCTCCATCCCTCCTTCTCCCAGCGCTTATCTGAAGTTTAAGTAACCTTTGTCGGTATGACAAAGCACTTTGTGTGTGTTTTTTTTTTTTTTTTTATGGCCCTGGCTTGCTGCAGCAGTAAAGCTCTCCTCCATGTTTAATAACTGACCTGGCAAAGTTCCATATTAAAGGGAGATTAGAGAGAGAAATCATCTACATACATGTTTGCATGAAGCAAGACCTAGTTAGCTAATTAACAGGAATCCATCTTGTACCAGTGACTTGACATTTGCTGTTGATGCAACTTGAAGACAGGATCCCCTGCCGCCCGCCCCGTCTCGCCCCTTCCCTTTGCTCTTCGTTCCCACTAGATAGTTTAATTTGTCCCCTCAGCTGTCTCCTCTCTGCTAGTCACAAGTGGCCACAGTAAGTGACAGACTTATCCCCCAAAAGGCCACGTCCCACCAGCAGCCCTTCTGCACATGGGGGGCACGCCAGCCCTAGCTCCAAGCCAGAAACCAGTCCTGGATGGACGTGGGAGTCCCCCTGCGGTCTTTACACTGGATCTGACCAGCTCCTTTTATCGTCTTCCCGTCGCCATCTCCTCCTGCCTCAGCCCAGCACCTCGCACGCCGACTCGGCTCAGCCTCTCCGTGGGGCAGGCCGAGGCCGCAGACACGTTGGCTTCCCCCACGCCATCCAGGCTTTCTGGGCTCTCCGCACAGATAAGTTCATAGGAAACAGATGTGGGTGAGAGGTTAAACTCAGAAAAACAAGGGGAAAAAAAGCAACGAAACAGTAGTGAGTTTGCTGTGTCAGCGCTCTGCGGGGACAGCTCAGCCGCGGCAGGGGGTGGAGGGACGCGGACGGGGCAGCCACCTTACAACTCCCGCCTGCGCGGGCTGAACAGCCCGACAGCCCTCCTCGAGGGGAGAGCTCAAGACGGAGACACTCAACATTGAAAACCAGAGCAGATGAATTATTTTTAATGCGTCGGGCCTGTACAGTAGCAACATGACCCCGAGGAGCTCGGTTAGCAGACGCCTGCTAAGCGCAGCGCCTCTGATAGCCGAGGTGGACGGCAGGAGCGCAGCCAGGCCACGAGGCCCCGGAAACGGCGCGGAAGCTCAGCCCCCTCCGACGATTGCGCACGGCGGCCAGGAGCGCCGGGGACGAGGTGCCAAACGTCAGTCCCTGCCCGTACCCACCACCTTGTTTACGCTTGCTCGTCGCCAGCGCCGAGGAGAGGTCGGGCAACGGCGCTACGTGGAAATAAAAACCCGTTTGTAAAAAATAGCAGC